GATAATTGGTCTGTTTATATTTTCTGTTTCTTTCTGGGTCAGTCTTGGAAGGTTGTATTTTTCAAGGAAGTTGTCCATTTCTCCTAGGTTTCCCAGCTTGTTAGCATATAGGTTTTCATAGTACTCTCTAATAATTCTTTGTATTTCTGTGGGGTCCGTCGTGATTTTTCCTTTCTCGTTTGTGATTCAGAGCTGTCCTTTTTTAGTTGTCTTTTTCCATTCAGCTTGAGATTTTCCCTTGTTTGGTAATACAAATGAGTTTCGATTGAAACCTGGACATTTTCCAATAAGACTAGATCTTACTTAAACTCTCTTTCGCCTACTTTTCCATGACACTGCTCTGGCGGAGGGAGAGGGCATGTCACTCCATCACTGACAGCTGTAGGTTGAAGGTCAGGCTCCTCGCCACTAGGCCTCCTCTGAAACCACGCCCACTGGGACATGAGGGGTGCCTCACTGCTGCCGGGTCTGCACCATCTCTGCAGCAGGGGCAGAGGGGGGCCCTTGCCAGCTGGCAGGGTTGAAGGCTTGTCTCCCTTCTCAGCCTCTGAAGCCACTTTGCAGAGGTGTTGGGGTCTTCTTGCACCTTCAGAGGACAGATGTTGTGGCTCCCTTTGCTGCTCTGAGTACAGGTGGGGCTGCAGGTTTTCTGCAGTGTTTGGCTGGGGTAGAGTAGTAATTATCTAAGAGTTTCTAGGCTTCCCCTTTCCTGGGCTAGAAAGAGCAGACTTTTGTCTATTCTCTTTTTTACTTTTTGCTGTACCCCCTGGCATTTATGGGTTGGTGACTTCTTCTTTTCCAAGTCAGGGTGTATAAAAGATAAAGTAAACCCAGGGAGCTCACTGCCCTACTTTTCCTGTGTCTTGGGGTTCCCAGCTGGTCTGCTCTCCTCTTTCCATTTCTCAGTCTTATGTTTCTTTCATGTGTAGGAACTGGGTCTTTTAGTTGTACTTAGCAGGAAGGATAGGGGAAAGTGTGTCTATTCCATCTCTCTGGAAATGGAGATCTTCTGAATCATTTTTAACAGGTCAGAACGTTGTTATTGTTTCTTGCCTAGTAAGATTTTCTGTTATGTGATACTGGGTTAAAAGAATATATTTCATAGCTGAACTAATGTAAGATACAGAACTATTTTCTAAAGAATCACTTTGCCTAATATAAGAAGACAAACTTTTTAAATCTAACTGCTTGCTCTCTCTGCCTAGGTTGGGGCAAACACCATGGATAACCCTCTGTTGAAGTACAGTGCAAAAGATTACTTCTTTAAAGCAGCTCTCTGTCACTTCATAGTAGATGAATTGAATGCCAAGGTAAAGAGTCCTTCAGTGCTAGTTCTTTGATGTACTTCATCTGTAAGAACAGCCCTCTGGTACTCTGTCATTCTTGATACCACGTTGGTGATACTTGATAGTAGCAAGACTAAACCAGGTACATTACAAATTGTGCCAGTAGTAATGCTGTGATACGGGCCCAGCTATGATCGTGTATCAGTTGCAGAAGCTGTCCTCTTAAAGTTCCCTGGCATCCATGTTCCCTTTGGTAGTTCTGCTTTAAAGAAATTAAGGAGTTGAGAGGGAGATGGTGCAGGTAGAATAACATCCTTTTTGTTAAACTTAGGAATGGGTTTCGAATGAGGGTTGGGGAGAAAGTGGAAAGCAACGTGAAAGGTGAGAGATGAGAGGCAGAGATTGGGCAGCCAGTGTCTGGACTTGGGAGAACAGAAAGAGAGATTCCCCCAACCTTGGTGGGCTGGCTGTTTTACTTGGAATCTGAACAGTGTTAAGAAAGAACTTCTCTCTTCAGTGCATGGAAACACACCTGGTATGTGAGTTTTTAAGAATTAGTTTGGTTCACATTGTCTTTGCAGCAACCTAATTCAGAAAAATTGGTTTAGAAATTTATTCCTAAGATCAAAAATTCAAAATAAATCAGGTTCCAGAGTTGATTTTGCTATTGAGTTTAACAGCATACCTCTTACACACTTGCATAGGATGTCAGTAAATCTTACTGAAATTAATAGAAAGCTTCAAAGCTTTGTTTCCTGATTCATTGAATCAGACATTAATCAAGTGGTTTTTCTCTCTTAGCTTGCTCTTGAGAAATACGAGGAAATGTTTCCAGCATTTACTGATTCAAGAGAATGTAAATTATTGAAAGTAAGTAGTAGACTTAGAAGAAAAAAGCCTTTGCTTTCAGGTGGGACTAGGTGTAAAGTGAAGGTTTAATTCTCTGAAGTCTGTTAATTAAGGAGCCTTGGTACTTTGCTGCTTTTGTATAATAAGCCACAGATGCCATAAGAGTTGGGGACATAAGCATCGTGTTCTGAAACAGGCAATTCAGAAGCATTAGCACAATAATTGGGTCTCAGACTTGGGATAACTGCTGACCGGTATTTGAGTATTTCCTCACTTTTGTCCTGTATTTGGCAACATGATGTTACACTAAGGCTATTTCTGTATTTAAAATACCTGTTCATAGATTTCAGTAATTTTTCCATATTTATGCTACCAGAAACTTCTAGAAGCCCATGAGGAACAGAACAGTGAAGCGTACACCGAAGCGGTAGGTTATCTTTGGAATACACACATCCTTTGAAGGTTTAAGTTTTAGACACTTCTTGTCTTTTTCATTGTATAAATGCTGAACATTTTTTTTTTAACATTATTCCAGTAAATTCAAGTTATATTTCCCAAGGTCAGACATTTGTTCTGTTAGCCATGCTGAATTTAGCTGTGAGGCAAATTCAAGAGAAAACAACACATAATATTATAATTGGCTTTCGAACGTTTTTTTGAAAATCTGTCCATAAATGTAAAGTCGAGTCCCTTAATATAATTTAAAATATAAAAACAAAGCAGTGAGGGTTTGCTATAGTCTGACATACAATAAATGGAGGATTATTCCTTTACACTCATTAGTTTTCTGTTTTCCCATCTTTTGACATCTTTTGTTCAGAATCAGGCAAATTTCTCAGTATCCTCCATTAATTTATTCATCATGGCTTTGAAGCAATGGAGGAAAGGAATGTTTTCTCAATTAACTTTTGCTACCAAGCCATTTGCATCCTATCAAAATTTCATTTTTTGGTAATGCATTGAAATGAGTTAAAGGAATTCTGCTTCCATGCATCCTGTCTGTGCTGGTGCATTTGTTAACGGTCTGTGAATATTGGAGCAGTATTACTTTTCCATGTGCTTTCCTTATTCTTACACAGGGTCTAACTTCCTTTGTCACGTTAAATGTGCTCCTCTTCCATTATAAAGGCTCTTGTGAATTTTTGCTATCACACAGAGCAATATGAAAAGTACAAGAACTTGTCACTAACTCCATTGAATAGTCACAGGATAATGAAAACATAAACAGTTCTTAATGGAGAAACTTACAAACTGGAATGTATTATTTTAAATAGAGAAAGTTGGCAGATTATCACGATAAGTGTTTAAACAGTGTGGGACACTGTTTTATATTTTTATTTTATCTCCATGGAATAATTCGTGTTCCTCTTCCCTTAAACTAGGTGAAGGAATTTGACTCAATATCTCGCTTGGATCAGTGGCTTACTACCATGTTGCTTCGTATCAAAAAGTCCATCCAAGGGGATGGTGAAGGAGATGGAGACCTAAAGTGAAATGATTATGTCTTTGTGGCATGCAGCTAACTCCTCTTTAGTTCCATGTTAGGGCCAAGTGATCTTCCTGGGATGCCCACTTAATGGCTGTTGTTGCACATGAGCCAAGCAGTGTGTTTTTGAAGCTCGCTGTGTTTGTGTCCCTGTGAGGCAGATGAGTAGGAAGCCCCTGTGTTTGTTGTGGGTGTGATAGGGTTATTTCATGCTTGTCAGTGTCCTCAGTGTTTCCTGAGAACTACTTCAGAATTTTAGTCCTGTTGCTTTGATATTTGCAGAGCCCATGTTTAATTTTGTCCCATATTTTTATGTCTGTTTTCTTGGACTGGCATACAATCCTAGTTATTCTAATAGATGCTTTGCATACTTTCTGCAAACCTGCATCTGGATGTTTCCGCTGAATGTATGACTTTAGGATGATTGTTAGGAATAAGTTTATGACTTTGCTTATTAGAAATTGTTTATTTTTTTGTTATCTTGTGGTTCCTTTGATGGTGCTGTAGTTAGCTTGCTTCTTACATTGTTGTGTATGACAGTGTGTGTGCAACCGTGCCAAACCAGCAGAGTGAGAGGAGGTGGCTGGCTCAGGTGTGGTGGATGTCCAGGTGGGTCTGACTGCTCTGTGCTCACACACACACACAAAGATCTGTAAGCAATGGAATGTTTCCTGTTGTGGAAAGAGTTCCCACTTTTAGTTGAGTGGATTTCCTTAATTCACAAATTCCTTTATATTCACATAAAGGTGTTTTAAGTGGGACATCCCTTTTCTTTACTCCCATGTGTGTACGGTTTCCCTGTGCACGACCGTCACGGCAATCCTCTTCAGGCCAGGACATTATCTAAGTTGAAGCTCGAGAAAGGGTATCATTAATTTTATCTGCTTACTTATGTGATGGGTTAGGTAGGATAATATAATGCAGAGGTTCAGTGTATGTCCAGTTGGGGAAGAGGCCCAACTAGCTTCTGAGGGGACGTGCTACTCTTCTGAGCTGAAGTAATTGTTTAGCTTGTGTGTTTGAATTCCATCCTGTTATTTTATATAATATGTACTCTATTGATTTATGAACTTGATCCTTACCCATCATGTTACATGCTGACATTGTACTTTAGGTACAGTCTTGTTTCCTGAATCTCCTTTGTGCATATTTTTAGGCTCAAATGATTTAATGTGCATTTGTTGCCAGACACGGTCTGTGAGTCTTTTCTCAGTTGTGCTGCTGTCAACAGCAGATAATGAAATTCCCATGTTATGCCTGGCAGTGACTGGTATTTGAATTGTGTTTAAGCCTTGGATGTCCCTTGGCTGGGATTTTGTTGGACAGAAGCAGAGTGGGGGTGCCCAAGGGCTGAGTGAGGGGGAATGTCTGGAGTTGATGGTAGGTCAGAGTCAGTCTGGAGTGGAAGAGAAAGAGGGAAGGAAGCAGGGAAGAGCCAGCTGAGGCCCAGCTTGAGGCTGTCCTTGGGTGGCTGTGAGGATTACCTGGCTGGAGCTGTCGGGTCACCTGTGCAAGCTGGATCTATTGAGAGAAGGGTTCGCTGAAGACGGGGGAATGGACCAGGAGATGGGGACACTCTGGCCTGGCCTTGTGCCCTGAATCTGTGAGGGTCTTCCTTCCTTCCTTTGAAAGTCTGGGCAAAAGAAAGCTGGGACAGTTTGGAACAGAGCCCCTTGATATTTACTTCCTTTTGAAACCTCATGAAAACATGGCTAGAGAGGAGTAGGCTCTTGTCGCTATACCTAGACTAGTCAGAGCCAGCCCACAGCACTTATGTGCAGATGCAGCGCCGGGCATGCTTTAGAGCCTGTGGCCGCTGGCACGAGTCTGTCCATCTGAGCACGCTGGGATCCTAGCCAGACGGTGGGCTTTTTCATCAGTAGCCGAGAAAGTTTGTTTTGACTGGGTAAATATACCTTCTGGTCAGACCAATTAAAGTAAAAACCAAATGATTTCTTTTAAGACAATTCTAGTTGGCTTTCATCATGATCTCCTAACAAGGCCTTGTCTGAGGAAGGGATATATTTTTAATTGTCTTGGTAACATTGTGTAATGTCAGAGCTACTTGTTTCTATTGAAGTAAACACAGGGATTAGGGTCTGAGTTAAGAATTTTGTTTTTTAATAGTTGACATAAAAACAGTAAAAAATAATTTTAACAGCTAAAATAGACCTGCTGGAAGATGAAAGGAAAACAAGAGGAAAAAAGTTCCATCAGCAGTATCCAAACTTCCTTTCTTGAAATGTCCCATTTGTTCAGGGCAATACCATGACTCTGAGACCCAAGTTAGGTTTTCAGGAAAGGGTGTTACTTATGAACAAAATATAATAACTATTTCCGTTGGTGGTTCTTGTATTTTAGCAGATTTGGAGGTACTTCATAGTCAAAGTCAGTAAAAATTTCTTACAGGTAAACTTTGTTTTCTGTGGCAATGTTTTTATAGCTCGTGGAGTTTCTTTTTTATTTGGAAACAGTATTTCTGCATAGTTGTGACCATGTGTGATGGCATTACTATAACCATAGTGTGCATAAATTTGTTTTCTCTGATACTGTGCATTTAAAAGGTTCAAATGCAAACTGCTGTGGCTTTCTGTGGAGCATCTGGCCACACAGCATGCCACCTGTGGCCTGTCTACCTGTGGTGTGAGCTGCCATGGAGCAGGTTCCTGCCTGTCTGTCATTGTGGTCTTCTCCATCATGCTCTTGCATGGGAGGTCATGTTATGAAAACTAACAATGTGATGATAAATCTACCTTAGGAGAAAGAGTGTGTATGTTTTATGTGAACCTGTAATTAAATAGAAAATTATGAGTAATATTTTGATGGGTCTTTCCTGGCTAAATTTAATTCCTAAATAAAACCTACACAGATCAAGATAGCTTACTGTCCTTGAAGTTGTTCATTAAGTTGAAGGCAGCAAGCACTACTATTCCCTAGATTCTCTGAGTGCCCATCCAATGAGTTCCTCTGTGTTGACACTTGCATGCTGTGGTGGAATTTTGGGCCACCTGCAGGTGTATGGTGGCCCTGGCTAGCCCTTTCGTACAGTCCGCTGAGTCTGTATGTTGTATCCATAAGCCTCACATTTTCATCCTTCCTGCTGCCCATTTGGAAATCTTGCATGCATCCTTTAACTTGCAAAGGTGAGATAGGAATGGTTCTTAGAAGACTGTTAGATTGGGGGAGGTGAGTACCCCTTCAGCACTCAGCTCTGTTGGAAGAGCACATGTCCATTTACCTTTGCAGGTGTCTGTACAGGGGCAGCAGGTGCTCTAGGGAGGAAGAGCATGCCATGGGGCCAGCTCACCTTGTCAGGGAGTAGCATAGCCATCCTTACATCCTTACGTTCACAACTTAAAAGTAATTTGAAGCAAATTTTTTTAAATGGATGATAGGAGATGGATTAAAGATGGCGGCGTGAGAGGAGAGATAGAGGTTTCCTCCTAAAACTGGATACAATTAGAAAATATAGTTGGCGCAACTAATCCTGAGAGAGCAACAGGAAAGAGGATGGCACCAGACTGCATACACCTGGGGAAAAGAGCAGACCTCACCAAACGGAATAACGTACCAAAGCCGTGGCTCAGCAGGACCCAAGCCCTTCCCCGACCCTAGCTCACCGGCAGGAGGAAGAGAAACTGAGCAGGGAGGGAGTGGAAGGCTTGGGACTGCTGAATACCTAGCTCCGGAGATCTGCGCTGGGAGCACACACCTACATTTCATGGTGCTTTCATCATACTCTTCTGATTATGGGGTTGGAAAGCTGTGACAAGCGGAGTTCCTGGAGAGACTGGGATTCTGGGTGCTTGTGGAAAGCAGGTATCCATATCCGGCTGCTCTGGGACAAAAGCTTGTATCTGTGTGCTCAGCCCACTGGTTCAGGCAGTGGAGACAGGCACAGCAGCCGGGAGGCGGGGAACGGCTCTTTCC